CCGTGGCTGGGCGCGGGGTCCTCCTCCCCGTGGCTGGGTGGGGGGGTTCTCCTCCCCCGTGGCTGGGCGCGGGGTCCTCCTCCTCTGTGGCTGGGCGCGGGGTCCTCCTCCTCCGTGGCTGGGCGGGGGGGTCCTCCTCCTCCGTGGCTGGGCGCGGGGTTCTCCTCCACTGTGGCTGGGCCGGGGGTTCCCAGTCCCCTGCTGGGCTTGCCCGGGGCCTTCTCAGTCCCTGAGAGCAGGTCGTTTAATCTCACCTGCTCTGTGAATTATCTCAACCTAGCGGGCATCCAGGAATAGGCTGAAGGGTCAGCGCCACAGATAAACCCGACATCTGCCCTGGGAGGCACTGACTTTTCTTTTCATGGGGCCACAATGAAGACAGGTGTGCGTGCGGAGCCCTCATCTCTGACGGCCTCCTGGCGTCACAGGGATGCGAGCAGGACCCTCCGACTTTCCCGTGGCAGGTAACAGAAACATTTTATAAATGTGTTTTAATCTTTTGTTACAAATTTCATCCTATTTGTCATCTCCACCTTCTTTGATTTAGGTGAACTACTTACAATCTCAACATCACACTTCAAAGCACTTTCTCATTCTGAACTCACAGCTTCAGTGTCTTCATTATTTGCACCAAATAAAAACATAGTTTTATTTACAGCCATCCAAGGCCTTTCTTAGAGTCCAAAAACCGTTTCCAATGTCGCTGCTCTCGGAAGATAGGCATCCTGGCGGCGCTCGGGTGGACACGGTGGGTCCAGAGCCAGAGCAAGGCCTGGGCCCTGCTCACAACCAGCTGGCGGAGTCCAGCTCCGCTGCCATGTTCAGGAAGCGTCTCTTCTTCGGCACCATTTCTGTTATTTTCCTGTTTCTCCCTTGCCTGGTTTGGAAGCTAAATATTCTATTTATTCTCTTCATCCAGTGGCCACCCTGGACACTGAAACTTTCATGTCTAACTTAGCAATACCTGAAGGTGTAATGTTTACCCTTCTCCCAAATTATTTCAAGCACCTCCCACTAGGCTCATCTGCTATTTTGACCAATATTTTATCCTTTTCTTGCTTTTTTAGTAACTCCACAAAATAAGTATTATTTTTAATCATACCGCCAACATGGGTTTGGATTTACCTACATTTTGCATTTTCCTTGCAACCCAGGCCCTTAATGCAGATCATCCCCTTCTGTCTCGTCTGTCCTTTAGAACAGCCCTGTCGATAGAAACACAATATCGGCCACAGACGTAACTTAAATTTTCTAGTAGCCACGTGCATAAAAGTAAAAGCAGGTGCAATTAATTTTGATAGTGTGTTTTACTTACCGCAATACATCTAAATATCATCTCAACATGTAATGAGTAGTAAACAACGAGAGACACTCACATTTTCTCTTTCAACTAAGCCTTTGCCCTCTGGGCTGCACAGCCGTTTACTCTTGGAGCACATCCTGGCTTGGACCAGTCAAGCTCAAGTGCCCAGCAACCACAGCGACCACCATGGTCGACAGAGAGCTGTACAGGGCCCTTTGGTGAAGGGGCTGCCTCAGCCCCACGTGCGTGCGCGTGTGCGCACGTGTGCCCATGTGCGGAACGCGTCTACTTCGCCCTGCTGCTCGCAAGCAGGTGGAGCGGGGCAGAAGCGTTCGGCTGCTGGGTGGAGGCCTGGCCAGACAACGGACAGAGCTCAGTGACCACCGGACCCGAAAGGACCGAGGGAGGGGACATCAAGTGAGAGGCGGGGTGGAGGTGGGGATCTGTCCCCAGCGGGACCGTACCTTTGCTGCCTGTCCTCCTGAGCGTCCATCTTCCAAGTGTCCATCACTCACCCCTTCTCGCCCCTCCACTCCGTGCGCTGAGGCGGCCTCAGCAGTGGGTGGGCTGGGCTGGGCTCGCTGGAGGGGTGTGCGCCCATCTTCCTAACCACGACACTATACTGACCCGAATCCTGAAAACTGGCACCAACTCTTTATTGTCTGTTTGGTTTTTAAAGGTAAAACTAACAAATTCTGAAGGAGAAGACTTCTGTGGAGGTGTTCTAATACAGGACAATTTTGTACTGACAACAGCAAAATGTTCACTCTTGTACAGAAACATTAGTGTAAAAACAAGTAAGTATTTTATCATTCTTTTTAAAATAGATTTATTTATTTATTTATCTTTTAAGTTTTGGCTGCATTGGTTCTTCGTTGCTGCACGCAGGCTTTCTCGAGTTGCGGTGAGCCAGGGCTACTCTTCATTGTGGTGCGCGGGCTTCTCATTGCGGTGGCCTCTCTTGTTGCGGAGCACGGGCTCTAGGTGCGCAGGCTTCAGTAGTTGTGGCACGTGGGCTCAGTAGTTGTGGCTCACGGGCTCTAGAGCGCAGGCTCTGTAGTTGTGGCGCACAGGCTTAGTTGCTCCACAGCATGTGGGATCTTCCCGGGCCAGGGCTCGAACCCGTGTCCCTTTGCATTGGCAGGCAGATTCTTAACCACTGCGCCACCAGGGAAGCCCTGTCATTCATTTTTATAAGATCACATTGGAAGTAAAAACTATCCTATGTAGAAACAAAAATTTTAATCTAGAATTTTTGTTTCTAATGCAATACAGACTGAGCTTATCTTCCTCACAAAGTCATAAAGCAACGGGGACACCTAGTGGAACTCTGGGCACAGCAGGCAGACAAATGCGGAATGTTTAGTCTAAGGAGGAAATCACAGCTGGTGAAACTGTCACTGCGAGGCACTGATACTGACGTGGGGCAGCTCGGATCCCTGTCCACCCCGGGGCCTGGGCTGTGCTGTGAGCTGCTCCACAGCGATTCCCAGGACCCGCAAATACACGCTCCAGCCCCAGACACTTTTCAGTCAACAGAACGTCGGCCTAGAAAATGACATCCGAAAAGCCAAGCTCTGATTGGCTTGGAGAGGTTCCTCCTAATTTCTTCCTAGTCTTTTGACCGGTTCAGCAACCGGCACTGCGCTCTGCGCCCGCGCCCCCGCCCCCCCGCCGAACACCTCACTGGGTTTCCTAGAGGAGAGTGTGGGAGAGGCCCCTCTGTGGGGTAGCCCCTGTCCCCTGCGCGCAGGAGCCGGGCGGCGGGGCGCACGTTGTCACCTTGACCCCCCGCCTCCTTCTAGGTTCCCGCTGCCGGGCGCGCGAGGCCCCGCCGGCGGTGGAGGTGAAGGGCGTCCACGTGCACACGAGATTCGAGGAGGACACGGGGGACAATGACGTGGCCCTGTTGGAGCTGGCGCAGCCCGTGCGCTGCCCCGACGCCGGGCGGCCCGTCTGCACTGCCGAGGCCGACTTCGCCGAGCGCGTCCTCATCCCGCGGCCGGGCGTGCTGGGCGGCTGGACCCTCCGTGGCCCCGAGCTGGAGCCCGCGCGGCTGCTGGTCAAGCACGTGGACCCCGGGGAGTGCGGCCGGGCCCTCAACGCCACGGTGACCACGCGGACGGTCTGCGAGCGGGGCGCGGCGGCCGGGTCGGCGCGGTGGGCGGCGGGCGGCGCGGTGGCCCGGGAGCACCGCGGCGCCTGGTTCCTCACCGGCCTCTTGAGCGCTGCGCCCCCCGAGGGCCCCGGGCCGCTCCTGCTCATCAAGGTCCCCCGATACGCGCTCTGGCTCCAGCGAGTCACGCAGCAGCCAAGCTCCGCCAGCCAGAGAGGCGACCACGGTCACAGAGGCGACGAGGAGCCGGTGCTGGGGTGACAGCGCCCTCAGCCCCTCCCCCAGGACCCCTCGTCTGAGCAGAACCCCGGGGAGGAGGGGAAAGGGCGCGCGTCCAGCAATAAAAGCAGAGCTGCCGGCACCGAAAGGCGCTTTCCTGAAACGCCAGGGAACAGAGGGGTTCAGTCCAACAGCGGTCGCGGGGGCGGCAGCGTCGCAGCGACCTCCCCGCCTGCCCCGGGAGGGCAGAAGGAGCGGGCAGCGCGAGGGGCTGGAAGGCAAACCGCGGGCCTCCGCGCGGGCCCGACCCCGGGGCGGGAGCAGCGGAGCGGCTGGGCCGAAAGGCCGCAGCCCCACGACGAGGGCGGCGCAGGGACCGCGCGGCGACAGCCCCGCGGCCCCGTGACGCCGCCGCCTCCACCCACGCCGACGGGCCGCGAGTCCAGCCCAGCCCGAACGGCGCTTCCCGCAGACCCGACCCGGGGGGCGGGGCGGCCGGTGCCCGACCGGCAGGCGAGAGCGCGTGGGTGCACATCACGTCTATTTCCCCGTTAATGTCTAAGCCGGAGGTGCCCAGTTCCCCCGAGGGAAGGAAGGGCTCTCCCGGCTGACAGCTCCGCGGCCACCACGGCAGGGCCTAAAGGCAGCTCCCGCCAAAGGCACAGGCGGGGGCGGGCTCCTTCCTGACGCGCTGCTGGGGAGCGGAGGGCTGTTTTAAGGGGTTAAAACTGTGACTTACACACACTCCTCACCGGAGAACGGAGCTTAAACACAATTCAGATTTTTAAGTAACAACCCTTAAACAAACACGATGCTTGTTTCACTTCTGACATTATACTGCAACCCCAGAGTTAGCCTTTTATTGGCCAGTCTGCAGCAGCGCTGGCCCATTTCTCTGAAAGGACCTTGGCAAAAATAAATATGTGAATCTGACGCGAACTAAGGGACAGGGCAGTGGAGGAACAGGAGAGGACTCTGACGTCTTAATGAATGTGGCTGTGTTATCTTCACACTCTCATGAGGTCATCGGGCCACTGCTCTGAACGGCTACCAAGGATTTAAAATCCAGCGGATGCGCACTGTAACTTCTACATAAATAGTTCTGTAAAGGTACCTGCAACCTCGCGGATGGCATTAATTTGCCCTACAAATCTGGATTTGCTAGAGTAGAAACCCTACCTGGAAATTATGACAAACACAGCACAGGCAGAGGTAAGAATCTCCCTACACCATTTACAGGCTCTAAAAACAAGGACCACTGCAGAGAAAGATACAGGCCTGTAACGCAGCTGAGACGCAGAGGGCCATGCGAAATGAAAACTGCTCTAGTCACGTGTATAACTTAATAAGTGGCTAGAAACCACACGAGGTAAGCAACTCAAAACAATAAAACGCAAGAAAGGGAACTTGGTTAGATGGCCACGCCCATTCACGCCCGGGTACAGACTGTCTGCTTCCAAGCTTGGGGGCAGCGCGAACAACGCCGCCAGGCCTGTGTTGACGAGGCCAGGCCGGCCGCTCCACACACAGGCCTCCAGACCAGTGGGTACGCGGGATGCTCGTGCCCGAGGTTCTGCTTCTTTCATTGCCAAGTACAACCCCGTGTTATGGTTCACGGTCAGTCCCTGATTTTCTCCTGTTCAAGAAAATACCTGAAAGTGTTGAAAATGCCCAGCTCTCTACGCTATGAAATCCAGGCACGCTCCCCGAAGTCCAGCGCTCACCCCGCAGCGAGGACGCAGCTCTCATCCGTGAGGGTGTGCCCGGCCCCGCGGAGCAGCGATGCCGTGACAGCAGTGCCCCAGGAAACACGGACTGTCTCACCATGGCCGTCTGCGCCTCCCCCAGGCCACGCTCTCCTGCTCAGGGAACTGGTGGGGGGAGGCGGCTGAGGGCCTGACACCCACGGCAGGCTGTCCCCTCCGCACTGCCCGTCCCCACGCCCAAGTCTGGACATGCCCAGGGTGGAGGTCACACTGTTGACTCGGAAGCCCAGCTCACAGAAGTGGATCCAGCTCCACCTCTTCTTTCTCTGGGGTCCTCGCTCTCGGAATGCGGCTCCATCCGACTGGAGAGGCCCACATGGAGCCCGGCTGAGCGCGTCAGAGCCCTGGGACGATGTGCCTTCAGGGTGGGTCACTTGTGCAGCCCGGGAGAGCCCTGCAGATGAGCCACGTGGAGCAGAAGCCAGGAGCACACTGCACACTTCTGAGCCAACTGGGACAGTCGGTCTGGCAGCTGGAGCAGCTGACGCGGGAGGGGACAGATGGGAGGCCTCGGCGGGGGGGGGGGGGGGGGGGGGGGGGGGTGTGTGTGTGTGTGTGTGTGTGTGTGTGTGTGTGTGTGTGTGTGTGTGTGTGTGTGTGTGTGTCTCCACGGCCCACAGTGGCTCTTCTCCGCGCAAAGGGCATGCGCCTTTGCAGCGATGAGCAACTACAGTCCGTGACGTTTCCTTCTTTAGTAAGTTCTGCACAGACAAAGGAGACGCGCACACTCTGAAAAAACAGCTATGACACCTGGGAAATTTAAATCAAAGTAAATTCAGCTTGTAAAAAGAAGCACTAAGTTAACCCAGCATTTTGATCACACAGAATGTTCAAATTTACCATAAAAAGACGTATCCCAGAAGATACGGTAGAGAAGACACCTTTTTGTATAAATTCAGATCACCTCTTTTACAGAAAGAGTTAAAAGATGCCTTCGTGAAGAACACTCACGAGAAGTAAACAGAAGCTGTCTCGGAGGCCGTGCCCCTAGCCTGAGTGTCACCAGCACCCCAGGGCCAGCGGAGACGGCTGCGCTTTCTGAGAAGGGGATGCCAGGCCTCTGTGAGGTGCATATCCGTCAGCCGTGATGGCAGAGACACTGAGGTCTCAGCCTCCCCCGGGAAAGACCCGAGAGACTCCAGCCGCAGAGGACGAGTTCTCGGCAGGATACGAACCAGGATGGCCCGACTCCCTGTCCCCGGGGCCGGGGGCGGGGTCAGCACACCGTGGACAGCGGGGGGAACGGGTTCTGCTTGCTGACAACCAGCTTCTGGTGCTGGTGCGAGATGTAGCCTTTAATGTGACCCTGTGGGAGAAGAGCAGAGGCGGCGTGTTTCTGGGCCTGGGTCTCGTCAAGCCTGCGGGGGTGAAGGACCTGGCGCTGTGGCACAAGTATCCCCCCACCCAGTCACCGTGCAGTCAGCTCCCTGGGAGGACGAGTGAACACGCACAGGAGAGAACAGAGAAATACGTGCCGTGTGCATCCACCCCCCACCCCCGCCCGCGCACAGAGCCCTCTGGGAACAAGGAAGGCATCAGAGCTCCCAGTGAAGGCGGGGCCTGGGGGAGGCGCGGCCACACACCATGTAGATCAGGTTGGCCAGGATGCACTGGACCTCGGCGATGTCCACGTCCTCCACCTGCATGAACTTCAAGGCAACCAGGAACGCATCCAGAGACAGCTGGTGTGTCTTGAGTAACAGGTACCTGCAAGAGGGACAGAGCTCACGCTCATCAGGGACGGGATGTGAGGACGAAGTCAGCAGGAGAAACATCTGCTGAGAAACCTCTGTTCAAGAGGAACAAAGCATCTCCCACCCGCCAGATACACTTGAAAAATAAGAGCTTTTAATTCTGACTTTCCAATTTTAAAAAGCCACTAGTACAAATATACTTTACGTTTACTGACTATTTGCTTGAATCTCAGATGCACGTGTTCTCACATTTTAACATCCTTATAATCGAGAAGCACCTTACGATGGACAGTGTCTCAGGTGTGATGAACTGCGGTCCTTGCTAATTTTGATATATTCCTCGCAGCCAGAAAAAGTCTGACTTTAACTGAAGTTTAACTGAGATCCTGCTGGGACCAGGGCTCAGAGAAGAGTCAACTTCCAGACTGACACGGAAGAAAAGAACAACCTCCTGATGGACAGGGGTGGTGGGGAGGGTCAGCGGGTCACCAACGGAGGACATGGGCAACGGGTCCCACACTCTCCGGCACAATGGGAAATGCCTGGTTCTCAGGGCTGGCGCTAAAACGTCTGTTACAAGGTCTCCACCGCAACCCGAGTTGTTCCTCCCGCAAGGGCGGGCAGACCTCTGCTCCCCCACCTGCGCAGCCGTAGCGCCCAGGCCCAGGGCAGTGCGCGGGCCGCGGAAGGCGGATTTTACCCCCGGAATGAAAAGGATGGACTCTGCTTACACTTTCTTAAAGAGGTTCCTGTAGGTGATAATCTTCAGCTTCTCGAGGATGAGGAAAATGCCGCACCGGATGAAGAAGGTCTCGTGCTTGGCCAGAGCCTCGTTCAGGAGGAGGAGGTTGCCTTCGCTGGGCGGCGGGACAGACGCACAGACACAGTCAGAACAACGTCCGGGACGAGAGTGCGTCGAAACGCCATTAGTTCTGTCACAACACGAGGACGTGTGTGCTGATTTCACCTTCTATGAGGTCTCAAATGGAAAAGGAAAAATACTCTACCTCACAGCTTTGGTCACCTCCGCAAACTGCATGAGATGGTACTTCCTCAGGAGCTCAATGGTTGGCATGTGACCCTAAGAGTAAATTTCCAGAATAAGAACGCTTTCACTTTTAACCAAATTGTCTGATAAAACTCTTGTCAAGGAAAAACTTGCAACCTGCGTTTCTTAGGCTTTCTTCCTAAGTCGCTGAACAAGAACTGAAAGCATCCTAGTCTACTGGAAAAAAAAAAAAAAAAAAAACCAATGCTGGTCTGGAAATCAGAAAACCTAGCCAAAACATGGTTTTGTCATCAGTGACGTCTGACATCGATCTCGACCTTCTCATTACTGTATCATAGGAGGCGGGTGACACCTGAAGCAATACTAGGCTACAATTTAGGAATTCAGAAACAGCTTCTAGAAGAACCAGCTGAAAAATCTAAAACTGGTTGTTCCCGTGAAGTCGGGTTAGCAGTGGGGAGGGAGGTGTGACACTGTCTCTTTCCCACTACAAGTCGCCCTGAACTAGGTAAGTATGTGTGTGTTGTTTTGATAATTTTAAAAAATTTTTAAATGGGAGGAAAGGAAGCCCTATCTATTACTTTGAGGATGTTTTAGTCAAATAACTTGCT